TGGGGGTTGCTGAGCATTTTGGTTCTGCAAGTTAATAGAGATCAACAAATCTGGGAATATTTTTTTTTTCTTCAAATATATTTTCTGCCCATTCTTTTTTGCTTCTCCTACTGGGACTCCAATTACTCATATATTAGTCCATACAATATCGTGCCACTGGTCGCTGGGGACCTGCTTTTTTATTTTCTAGTGTCTTTCTCTTTTTCGGAATGTATAATTTCTATTTTTTGTCCTTAAGTTCACTGAGGCTTTCTTCTGCCACCTCCAGTCTGATGATAAGACAACTTAGTGAATTGTTCATTTCCAATATTGTAGTTCTAATTTAGAGAATTATTTTTGTTTACATTTTTTGTGCTGAAATTTCTATCTGTTCTCTCATTGTTACCATATTTTTCTCTAAATCTTTAAACATGTGGTATAACAACATTTAAAGTTCTTCCTTTTAATTCTAAATTCTTTGTTATCCAAGGACATTTTCTGAAATGTGTGTTACATTTTTTCTATTTTTTACATGTATGATAACTTTTTAAATTATGTACTAGTCTTTTTGGTGTGATATGTTATAGAGATTCTAATTTCTTTCAGATTCTACTAAAGGGTATGGATTGTTTTTCCTAGCAGATTATTATTTTACTGGCTGATTTTCTTGATCTTTGAAGGTTACTTTTATATTTTATATGGCACATGTCTTAGGGTGAATGCTAAATATTGACACATAGTCTTTACTTGGCTTTTCTGGGATTTTCATAGAAAGACATATGTTTGCCAAGGACTTCTGGTTTGATGAGCTTCAACTCCAAACTCTGTTTCCTTGTGGGGGTTGTAGCTAAAACCTGTGTCAAGTGTTTCGGCTTTCCACTAGGCTATGGGAAATTTCTCCCACATATGCACAGTTTAGGGATCATCCAAGGAATACTGTATTTTGCACACAAATTTGGGGCCCTCCCCACTTTGTGGCTCTCTCCTTTCTGAGTTTTTCCCCTTGATTTCCAGCTTTTGTTCTAGTTAGCCTGTGTCTCTCCAACTGGGAAGGGCCCTCAGAGGAAAGGCGCAAAAATATAACTCACCCAGTACAAGGGCCAAATTCCCTTTAGTTTCTACTTTCTTTTGTCACCCCCAAATACAGTCAAATAGTTTATTCTCTATTTTCCTGAGAGTTTATAACTGTCATAAATGTAAGGATTAACAAAACGAGGCATTAAGAAATCATTACTAGAATCAGAATTTCTTACACTGCCTGCTTTATATCAAAGTTGTGAAATCATGTCCTCAACCTTACTGTACCTTCCTCCTTCCCATACAGGTCAAAGCAGGTTGAAAAAAATCAAAATTGCAAAATTGATCTATTACATTAGTAATTTTTTTATTTTATTTTTTAGAATATGCCTACAGAACATTGAGTCTTTTATCTGTCATTCTCTCTAGTGGCTCCAAATAAGTTGGAATTTTTACATTAAGGAAAAGGTGAAAAGTAGTTGATCAAGTGAGTTCAAAAGAAAAAAAAGACAGAGACATAGTGAAAGGAGAAGTGAAGAGAAAAGCAATGGAGGAAAAATCAGGGGTGAGAGAAGGCAAGGGGAATGCAAGGAGAGGGAAGAAGAGGCTTTGAGAATATGTTGCTTTCTGTGATTGTCACAATATCTTACTGACTTATAGAAATTATAGTTATTAGTATATACTGGAGTATATTGTTAGGAGCTATTAGAATAATCAAGGTTCATGTTCATGCATGAAATTTTAAACAGTTTTATCTGAAAAGATTGGAGTAAGACGTCATTCAAGGTCGGCCATTCAGTGCGGTATACTCCGTTTTACTTGTCTGTAAGAAAGCAGCTGGGTATGTATGAACTTCATATTGGTGAACACTGATATAAGGAACAGTAGAAGGAGATAGATACAAACATAAACAACCAATTAACACATATTTTTTGTTGCATGTATTATATACTATATTCTTGCAATAAATTAAGCTAAAGAAAAGAAAATTTTATTAAGAACATTATAGAGAAGAGAAAATATATTTACAGTGAGGTCAGTTAGTTAACGTCATCAAAAGAAATACCTTCTGGCTGATACCTACCATATTCAGTCAGTGTATTATGTGCTGTGGGTAAGTAGAAATAAAACATGGCCTTTATTTTCAAGGAGCTTACATTCAAGCCGAGAAGACTAAAGAGTTTGCCCATATCTTGAAGTGTCCTGAGACAGATGGCTGGAGACTTAAGTGGAGACTCTCCAAAAAGATGGATCTCTGTATTTAAGGGCTGGAGAAAGTGAGACATGCCAGAGTCGTAGTCAGAAGCCTTGGAGGGCCCTGCCTTGGGAACAGGGGCAAACCAGGGGCAGGCCGAGTCTTACTAAAACTGCGGCTGAGCCTCAACCCAGTTTAGGCCCTGACTGAATTGAAGTCATCAGCCCCTCACCCTTCCTACTTAACAAAGGAAAGGGGAAACCTATCTGATGGAAATTAACATTGTATGGAGTCTCTACAGTTCATTTATACATGGTGTCATGGAAAATAAAAAGGACCAGATATGCAAAGAGTCAAGAAAATACAATAAGTAATCAAGAGAAAAAGTAGACAAGCAGATTCATGCATGATTTGGGTACTATAGTTAACAGACAAGGATATTAAAATAACTCTAATATATTAAAAGTAGAATAAAAGATGGTTACTAGAGATGAATGGAATATAAAATTGAAATGTATTTTAAAATCAAATTGACATTTTAGACATGAAAAATGTAATATTGAAAAATAGGCGTTTGGTGGATGAATTTCAAAACCGTTTGGCCACAGCAGAAAACAAGAGAAGTAAGCTGGAAGACAGATCAATGGAAAAACACCCAGATTGAAGTACAGAAAGGAACAGTAATAGGTAACACACATAAGAGCATAAGAGAGCTGGGACACACACAAAAGATCTGATTTATGTATAAGTGAAATCCCAGAAAGAAAAGAGCAAGAATGCCCATCACCAGTAAAATATATAAATAAATTATGATTTATTTACCCAATGACGAGCTATACAGAAATGAGAAAAGAAAACCTACACTATGAAACATTATATATGAATTTCACAAACATAGGCTGCATTTATTTAGTTTGTTTGTTTCTTTGTTAAATATATCTTTATTGATTTTAAAGAGTGGAAGGGAGAGGGAGAGAGAGATAGAAACATCAATGATGAGAGAGCCATTGATCAGCTGCCTCCTGCACGCCCCCCACAGGGGACCGAGCCTGCAACCCGGGCATGTGCCCTGACTGGGAATCGAACCTCGATCTCCTGGATCCTAGGTCAATGGTCAACCACTGAGCCACACCGGCCAGGCAACATAGGTTGCATTTAAATAAAAGGCAGACAAACATGAATACATGTGGTATATATAGTAATATGTAATGTAGATGGTATATATACATATATGTGTATATATGTGTATATATATGTGTATATATATTATTTTTTTATTTCCCTGGAAAATACATATGTTAAACTAGTTGTCATTCTCTGTGGTGTACCATTTTAGTACAAGATAGAAGATATTTATGTGATAATATATAACAAGCTATAGACTCAAACTTACAACATGGTCTCATTTATATTTTTAAATCTTTTTCTTGTAAAATGCTATCACATACAGGACTTAATCATGTTGACAGAGTTTGAGGTTGCTCTCCTGCCTCATGCATAGATTTAGGAGGCTGTAGTTTAAGCTAAACTAAGAATTTTTAAATCACAAATTAAATTTATACTAAATATAATTAATGTCCCAGTTTGAATGAGCTGTATGTCTTTATCTCACTTGGACATACGTCATACACCATTATAACGTTTTTTCTAGTAAAATTCTGATTCTTAGCAAATGAGTTAAGAAATTCTATTTAAAGAATAGAAATACTTTAGGGAAAATGGAGTTTTCTACCCCAGCTTCCTTAACCAAGAGACACTTCTAGGATTATATAATTTCTTAAAAGTAGAAGATTTACTGGGAATTATATGGCTATAATAATTTGAAGTACCATATTCCATGATATGCTTACAACAGGGAGCGAGAGAGTTTGGGGAGGAAGGAAAAAAGGAAAGAAGGGAGAGAAGGAAAGAGAAAAGAAGGAAACAGTATGCTCTTAGAAGTACAGTTATCGTTTCCCCTGAGCGGGCACAAAACCCAAGAATTTGGCTGTGTGTTTAAGAAAACATGGTTTCAGCTCCGAAAGGATAGACCCTAATCCGCCATGTGTAACCATGGCAGCCACTAGGGCCGTGTTTCTCAAACTTTCGCAGGCAGCGGAACCCCTAGGTCTGCCTACCCTGGACTGCATGGCCCATCCCCAGAGTTTCTGTTTCCATAGTTCTGCTGCTGGGCCTCGTAATTTGCGCTTTTGTCAAGTCCTCAGGGGCCGCCGATACTGCTGATCTGGGGCGGCTATTTGAGAACCACCACAGCAGAGCTGCTTTAGCTTCTGCTGCCGCCAATCTTCTGTCATAAACTTGGATTTCTTTCTAATCTTGCTTTTGATTTATCCAATAAAGCAGGACCCATAAACAAAGCTGCAGGGGATTGTACTCAACCTGGATGCATAACAGGGAATGCCCGAAAGGGAAAGGCACTAATGAAACTCCCTCAGAAAGTTTTTGCCAGAAACTATTGGCCCAGAATGAAAATTTTGACTGTCAAGTGATAATAATTACTTTCCAGAAAATGGAGAGAAAAACAACCCAGCCAAAAAACATGATGCAACTAAGTATGTATACAGCCTGTGTTCAAAATAATGGATTTCTTTTTCTCTTAGCATATATTTAATGCACTCCCGCTATCAAAGTAATTTCATTGGAATGGGTTCTGTTACCAATCACAGCTCACAGATGTGGAATTTCACCCTAGTGGTTTGCTTATATTAGATGTAAAACATGTGCTTCTCAAAGATACACTAATGTGAACCCTAAATTTAAAAAAGTACAATGTGTGTTTCAATGTAATGTTTGTCTCCTTCCTTTATAGGACCGCATCAAAACACGTAAACAAGGACCTTGGTAATCTGGAGGAAAATAAAAAGTTAGAAGAAAACAATCACAAAACAGAAGCCTAAGAGAGAAACTGTTCTAGTTGTCCAGGTAAGTAGGCTGTGTGAGGTTTATAGAAATAATCCCCAGTAAAGGAGGAAACATCCGATGAGAAGCAAGGGAAAGAAGCCTTGACCTTAAGATGCTTCATAACCGAGGCTTTGAAAACAGGAAGAGGGCTTTTCAAAAGCAAACTTTGGTAACTCAGGTGTTCTCAGAAGAATGGAATCTCAACCATTTCCCTTTCCTCCAAACAAATAATCACTATCCTCTGAATAATTAAAATGAATTTTGAGATTTTAAATTTTAATTAGCATTTTGTATTCTAATGTCAAAAATTTTGCTGAGTGCAAAGAAGCTTAATTTTATCTGTTGTGTTTTGGTTGGATGAGCTCTGATTCTAATAATTTAAATTTATTTTTAAAAGCAATTATATGAGAAAAAAATATATAAAAATTTTAATCTAAGGATTTAAGATATTTAAAAGTGTCAGAGTGTTTATACAGCCATCTCCCAAATCACTTTAATGAAACGGCTAACAACTTTGTGTGTGTATACACACACATACATATATAAATGTTGTATATATTGCATATATTTATATGTAATAATTTAAAAAGTGTGATTTTTTTTTTTTTTTAAGAGAAGCCATTTGGACACAATATTCTGTGTATCCTTGAGTGAGAATCACTGTGACTCTAGCTTACTCATCTGAAGTTAAAATCCCCAACAACCTCAGTAAAACTTTGGTTCATTATATATAAGCCATAGTCACAATTTGAGTACATCACCCAAATTAATCCCATAGAGAAGATATGAAGCTTGGGAAGGAATTGTAATTAGAAGGATGTGAACAGGGAAGAAAAATTGAATCATTTAGATAAGACACTTTTTAAATCTGAAATCCAGGATCTCAAACTGGGAGAAAGAACTGGACTCTTTCCCCTATTTTGCCTTTTATTGGAAGCCAGGCAGGCAGCATTTCCCGCTTCTTTTTTTTTTCCTGCTTCTCTAGGGCTCATTCCTCAATCTTTCATAAACATAGGTTTTTACCTTCTTTTATCTTCAAAATTGGTTAGAGTAAATCCTCAAAGGAAAATTGAGCTTGAAGACAAAGCCCACAAAAGAGTGTGATTTAAAGGGATAAGTGAATTTTTCGACCTGAAGAGAACAGAATGAAATGTTTTCCTGAAAAACTTCATACTCTTCACATGAATTAAGCAATTTTCATAAAGATAAAGTCTCTCAAGTATTCTAAAAAATTATTTGCAGAAGGGCCATAGCAATGCCTGGGATTACAGATGGGTTTGAGGACAATGGAGTTTTATGAAAGTCTCCTATAAAGTAATTCCTGTCACTTTTAGTACAAAGCATCTGTTGATGGGGAAAAATGATTGCTATAGTAACTTACTAAATTATGTGTTGTTTTTTTTCATTATTTCAGAGAAAAAACTATATAGGCCAATTGAAGCATGAACGTGGATTGTATTTAAGACATATACAGAGACATTGACAGCAATTCATGGTTCAAATATTAAGCAGTTCATTCTACCAAGCTGTCGCAGGATTTAGAGAATTATCTCAAGTCAAACAATGAAATCGCAAACAATAACAACAAGTTTTGGCAGCCATGATGATAGGTCATATGTTGTGTTCGGTTTGACTTTTTTTTTCTTTTCTGTAAATGTCTGCACTGAGGATTTCCTTTTGGTTTGCCTCTTATGTAAATTTTTTACGTAGCTATTTTTATACACTGTAAGCTTTGTTCTGGGAGTTGCTGTTAATCTGATGTATAATGTAATGTTTTTATTTCAATTGTTTATATGGATAATCTGAGCAGGTATATTTCTGATTCTGATTGCTATCAGTAATGCCCCCAAACCTTTTTACAAGCCCCTAAAATCCCAAAGGTGGCCGCTTGTGAAGATTGGGGACACACACATTGCCCTGTTCCAAAACTGATTTTTATCACGAGACGGGGAGGCAGAGAGTCAGGTCGACAAGCAGGGGATGGCCTGGCTCTCAGAAGTAAATCCCACGTGCGTATAGACACGCATGCGTAAGAGCAGGACCCCCAGACGGACAATATTACCTATACCTAAAAAAATAACAGAATGTGGGTAGCATTTACCTTTCGAGACATCTGCCTGTAAATTATTTTCTGTCAAAAGGAAAGAAAACCCACCAACAATATGCAAGAGACAGTTTGGAAAAATCATGGATAACATTTCCTTTTTCACAGATCAGAATGTAAATCGCTGTATTTAAAAATTGGTGTCAAATCCTTTGGGTTATCCACTGCCTTAAAATTGTACCCATTTCCTTTTAAAAACGATACCAGTCAGAATTGGAGATTTTTAACAGTGGTCATTATCAAAGCTGTGTTATTTTCCACAGAATATAGAATATATATTTTTTTCGTGTGTGTTTTTGTTAACTACGCTACAGATATTGAATGCACCTTGAGATAATTTAGTGTTTTTAACTGGTACATAATTTATCGAGCAGTACATAAAAGTGTAATAATAAAATGTCTATGTATCTTTAGTTACATTCAGATTTGTAACTTTATAAGCGTGTTTTATGCTTGAGGAACTTTTTAGGGTGGTAGTGTACATGGAAACTTTTTGAAGTAGACTGGATAGGGGCCAATAGCTACTTGTGACTAGACTTTTAAACTTCGCTCTTGCAAACAGAAGCCTGGATTCTGGGAGAACACTGCACAGCCATTTTGGTCCCAGGATTTATATAACTTTATCCTAAAAGAAAATGAACATCAGATTCCCAGGTATAGAACTGTGTTCTTGAGAGAAAGAGGAAAACTGGTGTTTGTTTTTTAGACTGATGCACTAAAAATTATGAACGCAATGAAAAATAAAGTGACGATCAAAGTCAGATGGGGGTTAGGAATACTATTTTGCCACTCCTGCATTATTTAGAAACACATGTTATTGTACATTTGTAAACCACTTACTGTCTGAGCGGTAGTGTCTCAGTTTAATAAAAACTTCCTGTAGTGCACTGGTATGGATTAAATACATCAAATATCCTATTAGACTCAAAGCTGTGTAAAATATTGGGGGGGGAGAAAATGTGTTATTTTGCCTCTAAACTTTGATTTATTGAAGTTTTATTTGGCAGGAAAAGAAATTGAATCTTGGTCAATATTTAAACCAAAGTGAAAGGGGAAAAACCAAAGTTATTTGTTTTGCATGGCTAAGCCATCCTGTTATCTGTAAATACTGTGATTTCTCTTTTTTTCTTTTCGCTTTAGAATTTTGTTAAAGAAATTCTAAAATTTTTAAACACCTGCTTTCCACAATAAACCACGAACACTAAAATGAAATCACTTTCATATCAATACTTTTTCTTTTGGTGTGGGAGATCAAAGGTTCAAAGTCTAACTCCTAAGATATATTTGCAGAAAGAGACAGTGTGACACTAGAAAGAGCGGGTTACACCGCAGTTACTTCTAGGCTTTTATTTGCTCTGGTTACCTAAGCCCGAAAACAGGCGTCGGGGCCGAGAGGACAGAACATCCCGGCCAGGGCCCCGGACGGAGCAGAAGGTTCGCCGGGAGGGAGCCTGGGACGGCCGAGCGGCGTGCGGGGCGCCCGGGGGAGGCCGCCGACAGTCCCCCGCGTGCGAGGCCGCGTCCCTCCAGCTGCTCTCGGGCTGGGGGAGACAGTCGTGCCAGTTCAAGTTTCACTTCCAATCTTTGATTGCAGGAATTGTATGTGGAAATGGATTAACATACCTGCCTATGCCTAAAAGATAATAAAACTGAAATATGTCTTCACGTGTCTCTCCCGGCTGCCTGCCTCGTGTCTAAACTGGGATGCTTGTGTAGAAAATAGTCGTCTTCATTAAACTAGAAAACTCACTGCAACTCTTTCTCTCTCTGGAGAGGGAGTGCAGCCAAATGAAACTGTCCACACCTTATTATTGTGCCCCCTTAACCAGTCCTAGATTTCACCCGTAACTGGTTCTATAATGTATGTGAGAGGATCATCCTCACTGTGTGGGTGTCCCCTGTGGCTCTCCTAGGAACTCAGTTACGAGGACACACTCGTATCTTTACTTCCATCAACACACCATTCGGTTTACTATTGGAAGTTACCTAAGCATGACCTTTCATAGAAATTCTTTACCTTTAAAATAAGGTAAAGTCGGCTATGTACATCAGATAAGAAAAATAATATTTATTAAGCCCATACTATGTGCTAAGGCCAACCATACATTATTTTATTTATTCCTTACTAGTTGAAAATAGTATTAAATATCCCCCCATTTAATAGCTGAAAACTAAGGTTTAGAGAGGTTTCGTAACTCCTAAGTGCATTTAGCTTCTTAGTAGGTAAGTTGGGTATCAAACCAGATCTGCTTCTAAAAGCCATGCTTGCCCCAATCTACTATAGTTTCCAAACTTCATTGATCAAGAAACCCTCCATTTTATAACATGTAAAATTGGAAAATATTGACACATGAACTGGTTATATAAATTCATCTATAAAGGATTATTCTAAGATGTTCAAATAATAGAATAGACCAATATTATAATATAATTTACAGCTGTGTTTGGATGATTAGATACCTTATTAGAAATTATATATATATATAATTACATATGTGTTTGTTTAAAACACATATGTTTAAAATGTGATGTGGATATGTGATACATTTTTAAGCACACGTTGCTGTCCTACACCAAGTACCTATAGCAGTATATTGAGGTGTTATTTACCCTTTCATTTGAATCCTTTCAATATCCTGCCACAGGAGGCACTATCTCCATTTTATAGATCAAGACAATAGCTTAGTCTTCAATCACAGACATGGGACATGGGTAAGCCTGGACCTGTGCTCAAGACGCCAAAGTCCAAGTTCTATTCACTATATTGTTTACCTTCCCTGTTAAGAATATACATCTATTTATGGTTGGGAAGGCTACCAAAAAGATAGATGTGCATTGAATAACTTATTTGATCCCCTTAGTAATTCATGTCATTCACCTTTAAAGAAAGATGTGAAAACTGCTTTGAAAAAAATTATTATATAAGTATTAGTTCTATATTTTATGTCTAAAGAATCAAATGGAAAATCTCTACTATTAAAAAAATCAGTACAGTAGATTTGACTTTAGAAGTATCGTATGTTAACAATAAAAATACTTCAGTTAAACAGAGAATGAATATTTTTCATCTGAGCTTAATAAAAAACATTTTTTAAACGTACTGTGTTTGGGAAACACGAAGTCAAAACACCGGAGCTCACTGTTTCCCAGCATGCTTTCTTCACCCACTCATTATCCCTATTCTAACCCAATTTGCTTTCTTTCCCACACCGTCCCTCGCTCGTTTTCCCTTGTAAACGTTTCCTACTCACGCCCGAGCGCACCGGGCAGCGAGCACGCAGGCGTGCGGCTCCACAGCTGGTCCATTCTCAAGGTACCTGCTTCGTTTGTTTTCATTAGCTCGGGAAAGGTTTCACCTTGTGATGGCCAAGCAGCTGAATGAATGAGAGACAGGTATCCCGTTACATACATAGGTGTGTGTGTGCAGGCTCGCACATTGTGGGCTGGTGCACCCCGCTTTCCTTATTTAAAAAGTGATTGCTTGAATAAATACAAAATATTTGTCAAGTAATAAGCAGCTATAGGGTGAAAGTATCCATGGTACTTCGATGTGAGGCATTCATCAGTGGTACAGTTCCAATAGCACATAGTAGCCTCAATAATTGCAATGAAATTTATATGAATAACGTAACTGTATAAACTCCATAATACCAGGAAGTAAATGAGGGCCTCAACATCACAGAGGCTCAAAATAAATTATTAGATTTTTGAGAAAGCTTGTATATTCAGAGAGCAGAGACTATGGTCTCCAGAAGGTACAGCATTTGATAAAATGTGCCTTTGGAAGCTGACAGCAACTCAGTTTAGGCTACTTGAAAGATAAATCAAAATTAAATATCAGCTTCCCATAAATAGTTTCTTTCTGATTTTATTTTCCCAGGTAGGTCAGATTAAACTGAGTTTCAATTAACAGTTTAAACTGATGGTTTGATTCATATACCATCTGAGATGTTCACTTCCACAGAAATAACAGCTGAAATTTGGGCAGCCCTATATAATTCTTTGAATTCTCATCAGTAAGAAATAATATGTAGTGAAATATTAGTGAAATGAGATATAGTTATTGCTTGAAAGACCTCTCCCTGGATGACATATTAAGGAAACTGAATATTTCTGTTAAGAAAAGGATTATGACTAAGTATTAGAGTCATTCCTTGGAAGCTAAATTGTTACTAAAAACCCAATTTACCCAGAAATTCTCGGCTTCTACATTGTTGGCAATAACAATTAAGTTCCATTTCCTTAGCTTGATTAGAATTGTCCACCAAAAGCTTTAAAACAGTCTTTGTATTGAGAGACAAAAAGATATTACCCATTGTTGAGTCTGATTCCAAAGGGAAAGCTTAATGTTTTAAACTTTTGCAGGTTCATTTAAAGGAGTCATCTTCGTGAGTTTTCTTAATTTGGAGAGCTTTCCTTTTCATATATAACAGTTGCACACAAGCTGTTTAAGAGATGATGAATTTTTGGTCACATTGGCAATACCACAAAAACAACCGCTAGACCTTCCAGCTCATTCCTAACTGGTAATCCGTTAAAAAGTTGCCACTAGTGACTTTGTCACTCGTTCACTGTTTTGAGCTATTTTTTTCTTGAATGTAATAAAATGCCATAAAATAGAATTATTAAAATATCAACCATGCACTTCATACTTACCATGACAGGACTCCCATTTTTTGTTGTCCTGATGATAATGGCAATATATGGAATTAGTGTTCAGTTCAAAGATTGTGCACATTTATAAGTATTAACACTGTTGTTTTTATGGGATTTCTGCAACAGAGATGGAGTTAAAGTGATATTAGTACCTGCAGCATCAAAACCCAGTGACTCTTGGCATTGCACTGAAGAGGAACTGGCGCTGAGGCAGATTTGGTTGGCTCACCCTCACCATTCCCTACTCTTACTGTTGAAAGCAGGGTATGTGTGTGTGTAAAGATTGGGGGTGAGAAATTTACTTCTCAATTTCTCTTTTGAAATTATTTTTCCAAGCATTTGATCCAATGAGGAAATCATGTGGTTGGGAGCAAAGTCGAATGGTCTTTACCAAAATTGTTAACATTTCAACTTAGAAATGAAAGACCAGACCGAAGCAGCAGAGGTTTAGCAAGCTGGGTGAGCACAGGAAGCTGCTCAGTTATGATATGTTTTGCATATTAGCTGGAGTTTCCAGATTTAAAGCATATATATTTATAATTGCAGTTTGGCTAAAAGATGACTTTAAGAGAGGAAGCATGTCAGCAATAGTTCACACAGTCTTTGATTTTGTTCTTGGCTCATATTTTCTTCTTAGACAAAGCCACTACAGCGATACCACAGTAGAAGTCCCTTATACCACAGTACAGGCCCTTTCCTCCCACCTCCCTGTGTGTGTTTCCGAGATGCTTCCTAAAGTTAAATGCTTTTGCAAAGAGCATCCTGCTCCTGTTTCTCTCATGGTCCATTTTTTGCATTAGATGCCCTAATTCTTTACCTCTATCTGTCTCCATACCCTTTGCATGTGACTTTGCAGTTCTTCCCACAAGAGGGTTAGAGCATATGTTCCCATCCTTGACACTAGGATCATCCAGATGATTTTCTTTAGCCAATAAAATAATGTGAAAGTAGAGTTTTTCAGTTCTGACTCTGGGTCTCACGTGGCCTACCATGTTTCTTCTTGACCTCTTGTACTTCTCTAATCGCCCTGGGAAGGACAAGCCGACGCAGGCCTGTTCATACCAAGAGAAGGTTAAAGGCACAGAGCAGATCTGCACCGGGTCAGGTGCCTCCTACAAGCCCAGGCTGGTGCAGAGCAAGCCTGGCCAAGGTCACGGGGTCCAGTCTGCGTCAACTGTCAATCAGATGATCCACAGATTCATGGGCTAGAATAATAAAGGAGTGTTTTAAGCCACTAAGCTTTGAGATTGTTGTTATGCAACTATAGCTAACTGGTACACCTCCTCAGGGGCAACGGCTTCCTGATTGGCCTATTAGGTCAGGATAATAGCAAAAACATTCCTTGCACACAAAAATAATCAGATATGCTTTATTAAAGCTGTAAGGACTAAACTTTTGTACTTTCAAAATGTCCCCCTCTTCCCTGACGTTTCTGGGATCAATATTCACTACCCAGGGCCCCCAACCCCGCTGTATGCTATTAAATATACCTTAGCATCAACATATACGACTTATTTGTACTAATTCCAGGTAGCCGTTTAGAGATGCTTCTTGAG